GTGACGTTAACGTGTAAGCTCAATAATGCTCCAGCTCAACCAACCATATTGTAATATCTAAGTAATCATCTTGAAATATGACATTAATAATTGTAATATACACACATCTTATTGTGAGGTTGATTTCACATACACTACTTCGACGTTAGCTTGTCTACATACTTGAGCATAGCCAATTTAAATTAACCTTAGCGATGCATACAGTTCCTATACCTACATAATAAAATATCTCTCTAAGTTACAAGGATGACCTTATTTTATCAACCTCAAGCAGAAGCCGTTTGTTCTACAGTATTATCCCACTTAACGCTTAACACTTGTCTATTTCATTCTAACCTTTATATACAGTCTATGATTTTAACTTGTAGGCTACGATTAGCATCGTTAGCACCGATGTAGCTACCACTCGCTTACAACTAAACCAAGCCTTACCATTCATTACGTAGCCGATTAAAATCATTAACACATAAATAAGTACTCGAATTTCACTTACTGCAAAACCGCATTCATGCACCGTCTGTTTTAACCGCAGAGCGAGTCACAATAGTCCGATATATAAGCATGAAGAACAAACAACCACGGCCGGCTTCAAGTTGTGTTCCCTGGATGAGCTGAGCAGGCAGAGTCCCTGTAGCTTCACGGAGCAGGTAGCAGAGAGACAAGAAGCTAGCAGCAGCAGTCACTTGACAGAGCCGTCACTCAATGTGACCACGCCCTAATTTATGCAAAAACGTTAAGACCTAATATAAATAAAAGGGTCGTGTTAGAAAACAATTCACTCACAGATCCATAATCATGAAGGTTGAACCTAACTATATTCATAATAATATTTATTGCATCCATGGGTAGAAACATGTTTTTTTCTGCTGTAAAGTTGGGCATTTTAACATGGAGGTCTATGGAAATTGCTCCTTTCTGCAGTCAGTCCCTATCGGCCAATATATGAACTGCAGTGTGTGGCACTTCCGTATTGGCGTCCCGGCTCTTCCCCAGAGTTTGCCGCTTGGATAAAACTCTTCTCCGTTCCCCTGAGTCCTGTTTTACATCACAGGCGTGTTAATGGAGATTGCCTCTGTTTTTTGCATAATGCTATTTTCCAGCAGTACTTTGAGTATTGAGTGCAATGCATTTTGTATTTTTGTGAATGAATAGTCATTTGAGAAACACACGGACATGTTGACCTTTGTTTATATTTCTCTGAGGGGTTGGCTCTACAATACAGTAACATGACATCCAGAGATAAACAATACTTCACCTTTCCTGGAGAGCTGTTGATGCGGATGGATGCGGATGCTACAGATGCTGGTGCCTCCTCTCATCACATCCAGTCTGATTTCAGGTTAGATCCCCGGATATTAGACTCAAATGGCCCGACATACTCAGAGAAGTGGCTATTTTCTATAGTTGTAAATGGACTGCATTTCATACAGCCCTTTTCCAGTGTTTTGTACCGGTCAAAGTACATACAAATCAGCATTAACTCCATTTACACAGAGGCCGAGACTGCCATGCTCAGTAAAACTCCCCCCCCCCCCCATACTGTTGGCCATGCCATCGGGAGCTATTTGAGATTAAGTATTTTGAGTGTCCTGCACAAGCATAGTGGGCATATCCCCCCCCCCCACATCCCCGAAATTCTCATTTAAACAAAACAAATGTTTTATATGTTTGTCACACGATGGTGTTCAGTTTACCAGTAGGCTATGTTATGCATTTTCCACACCATACTATTAGTAATATTCTCAATATAATCCTATCCAAAACAGCAATATAACTGCAACCTCTTACTTAAATACATTCCCAGGAGGTGTGATTTATTGTTGGGATATTGGTTGACATTAAATTGACTATGCGCAGATCCTAGTTTTATTTTATTATTTCTAAATGATGACACCACTCTAAAATATGTTTGTGTGTGTTCAACTACTATATGTAAGGAGGTGTTTACCATGTTAAAAGGTTTTCCTTGAATTAGTATTGTTTCTCTTTGTATATGTTTTTTGTATATTTGTTGTGTTTTTTTACACCCAGATATCAGCTATCAATCTAAACAGAAAGGATATTCATGTGTTCATATGTTGCATCTTCTTTAGGGATGTCGTCTATGGACAAGAAGGCTTTTGGGAAATTGGGGCTCCAGGCTGTTTGCTATTACACGGTTACAACCCTCATATCTGTGTTCATCGGCATCGTCCTGGTTGGGAAATCACACGGGAACGCCTCAGCGCCCCCTGGTGGCGAGGTGGAGGCTGTGCAGACTGTCGATGCCTTTCTGGATCTCATCAGGTTAGTGTGCATCATAAAGGATCAATATCTAATACAAACAATCATTAAATAACCTTTACTCTCTTTCTTTAATTTACAGAAACATGTTTCCCTCAAATATTGTGGAGGCTTTTTTCAGGAAGGTGAGACCTGCACTGTTTTTTATTTGTTTTTTTCCTACTCATAATCCTGCTTGATTACAATGATGATATATTTATTTAATTCAGTATAAAACTGTTTATTCCAAAATCAAAAGTCTTGATGTCAGCAATCTGACTCAAACAAGTAAGTTCAATAAGAATTATGTTTCTGTTCTTTGTAGTTGTGATCAAATATTTATATTTATCTTATTAAATACAACTGTTATTATCATGACTTTTAACGGCTTTACTGGTAATCTTGCAGATGACACACCGGCGATGCAAGGCACCTCAGAAGGAGTCAATATTTTGGGTTTATTGGTCTTCTGCATTGCCTTTCGACTTATCCTGGATATGGAGAATTAGGCAAAACCTCTGAGGCATGTTTTTGACTGCCTGAATAAAGCCACTATGCATCTGATCAATCAGCATAGTAATCTGGTAAGAGAAACTTCCAACATTAAGACTGTGAATTCAATTATAATCATTTAAAGTTTGAAATGTTGACCCCTTAATTGCGACTAAGCCAATTACTCTATCAGTGAAGTTTGAAAAAAAACTAAAACACAGTACAATCATCATTCAAAAAGATTTGCTGGCTTTTACAGTGCTTTGCCACACTTTTCTCATGCAGGTACTCCCCAGTGGGAATCCTCTTCTTGATCGCAGGACAGATTTTGAAGCTGAGAGATAGTAGGGTCTCCAGATTGCAATGTATGCTCTCACTGTGATCCCTGGACTCTTCATCCACAGCTTGATCATCCTCCCCCTCATCTGTCTCATGGTCACACGTATGATACTCGAGGCTCTTTCCACAGCCTTTGGGACTTCATCCAGGTGAGCTGGAATTCCAGTTTTCATTGTTGTTTACAGGCTACAGCATAAACATTACAGTTAAGATGGATCAGGCGTGAGAAAGTATACAATCTTGCACTTTTTTGTCATACAGCACTGTGACTCTACTGATCGCCATCCGCTGCCTGGAGGAGAATCTCAACATGGACAAACGGGTGACGCGCTTTATGCTGCCTTTAGGGGCTACAATGTCCATGGATGGCACAGCACTTTAAGAGGCAGTAGCTTCCATATTCATCGCCCAGATTTATAATATGGAGCTGGATCTGGGTGAAATCATCATCATCATCAGGTATGATTAAATAACTTTATCTTTCTACATTGTATGTAAATTCATTCTTGCATATTCTAATGATTCCCGATGCAGCCTCTACAGCAGCAGCTATTGGGGCCTCAGGCATCCCACAAGCCGGCACCGTAACCATGGTGATAGTGTTGACATCAGTTGGACTCCCTCTTGAAGGTATTTCTTTTATCATCAGCATTGACTGGATGCTGTAAGTGTGTGTGAGTGTGTTGCCAGAATAAAATAAAAAAGCAACCATTAGTGTAAGAAATGTTCTATCAATATTTTGCTGTACTTAATGTGTTCAATGTTTCTTGGTAAAATGTGCATATGTGTTGTTGAGAAGAAAGCACAAAGTTACACATATTCTAAAAACAACATTGGACTTCCTACATTTATATATGTGTTTGTGGTGAAGTCACACTCACAGTCACATGTTCCTAACTTTAGAACTTCCTGTATTTGTTGATAGAGATTATTTGAGGACGACCACCAACGTGCTTGCTGACTGTATCGTGTGGGTGTTGTGCAGCATCTCTCCAGACATCAGCTGCAGAGCTCCAGTCTTACAGAAGAATGCTTAGTGGAAGAAAACAAAGAGAGACTTTCTAACTGAGAGGTAACACCACAGTGCACTCCTGCTATTCCTGCAGCAACAAGTTGAGATTCGTAGTGAGGTCAAATTCAAGCTGAAATTATCTTTATTAACATGCACAATGGCACTGGTGCAGACGTATAATATTGAACTTAAAATATACATGGACAAATAAATGAGTAAAGCTACATTTTTGCCACTTTTGATGAGGTTTTATGGTTTGGAAAGTATGTTTGAATTAAACAAGACTCTTTATTAATATACACAAATTACCGCACTTCAAAATATCGTATCAAAGATTTGGTAATATACGGTCAAATGATTCCTTAAAGAAATATTATTGAAAGCAACTGCTGTAACAATGTCTTAATTAACTCATTAAGTACTGATTGATTAACTAATCATTGACTCCTGCTTGTGTTGCCTGAACAGGATCTCACATGTATTATTCTGTCTACAATGTGTGGCATTTTTTACATGATAATTTTGTACTGCTTCTGGGGAAAACACACATTCTGTCATCACGTCTATGGTATCCCTCCTGAAATACAAAGTCTATGATGGATTCATTTAGTTTGAAATGTGCCGGTGACATTTCTTCTGTACCGAATGATTGTGTGCCAAAAAAGGTGATCAGACTGCAAGCATCCTTCCTACTTTCTGTAAACGCTACAGGGAATTGACTAATTTGTTATTGCAAGAAGTGGGTAACCTTTCATTTGAGCAAATAATGACTATTTTGATAGCTTAATAGTTTGTTGGCTTTTCATCATAGTCAATAATTACTCAGTTCAGTTTTTCTTAAAAATATGTCAATTTTTTGAGTGAAACGTATATTGTAAATAAATTCAATTTAAAATATTTGTTTACACCATTTATTCTGACTGTGGAACAAATCACAACAGAAAACAGAAAATATACACATCTTTCACAGGATATCACTTCCATCACTGCCATATATTATAATTTAAGAATATTTACATATATTACAACACCACATCTGGGACTATGCACATTACTCATTAGATGCAACTAAGTGTTAAAGGGCAGCTGGCTATTCATGCATCAAACCCTGATTTACATTGTATTTTGTATGTACAGCCTGACCCTGATGTGTCAGTGGCAGCCGCAGCTTCCTGCCACCATGTCATTATACTGTTTCAACACCACATTCTCTGCATCATCAAAGTAAAGCAAGTTGATGGAGAAGAGCTTGTCGGGGACGCAGCAGGGTGTATCGATGCCTTTGATCAGCTTCAGAGCGTTGATGATGGACTGGACGGTGGCGTGGTTGGTGGGCCTCATGTTCTGACCCAGGGGGAAGGGGCAGGAGCCTTTGCAGTGGTAGGCGTTGTAGCCGCGAGGAGACACGATCCAACCCGACCAGCCGATCTCCTCAAAGTCGACGTAGAGGGGCTGGCGCTGGCAGGGCGAAGAGGCACGGTCCTCCTCGCTGTAGTCCAGGGAGCGGGCGATGCGGGGGGGAGGGCCTGACATGGGGGCTGAGGGCAGGTCGGAGCTGACTTCTGTATCGTTCGGGTCTGTTTAGAGAAAGGAGAGCATTTTTGTTAGAAAACAGTCAGTATATACACTATTTTCTTCTGAATTGGAACACAGCATGTCATATTTCATGTCCTTTCTTCTTATATTGCACTTATTCTGAAGGGTTTTGGTTGTCAGCAGCAGAAGAATGTTTTGATAGCCAATAATAATTGAATGTCAGATTTTACTCTTACTATGTTTCTGATAACTGAATTAATTTACAAGGGTTTCCCCAAGGCCCCACAATTCTTATCTACGCCCCTGCTCATCAAGACTGTGTGTTGTTTTACTATCACTGGACATAATCCAATCAATCAAATGACATTAAGTTGACCTAAACTCACCAGTGTTTTCTAGAGTAGTGGAGCGGCTGCCATCGTCCGTGAAGAGGACCAACATGGGCTGTTTGCTCTGGTGATGGTTGCGTCCTGAAGCGAAGCGGATCAGCTTCAGATCCATCTGACTTCCTCCAAGAGTCTGAACCACCACATGGAGCCCCAGGTTACTGCGTTCATCGCTCATCCAGGAGCGGACCTATAAAAGAAGTTCACATTAGTCAACTACAACTCAGCTCAGGCAGGTCTGTAAAGAAAAGTCTGTATATGTGATTGAAGGCCTTAAAGGGGAGTAAATACTTACTGCTTGTGTAATGGTGAACACTTCCCAGCCAGTAGAGTGGATTGGAATCAGTCTAGAGGACAGCAGCTTCTTCTCCTGTGTGTTGTTGTTTTTGCTGGTGTCAAGCAGCTGATAAACACTAACCTGAATGAAAAAGAGGTAATGGATGATTAAAGTTCTGTCCCTGGAGGAGATGCATTGTGATGGGTTTAAAGCATTTCATAACATTGTTACCGTAATGTTAGTGAATGGTACATACCTGGCAGAAATGGTGTCTGTTGAATGTCAGTGTAGCCTGAGGTCTCAGCTTGAACAGATGCAGCTCTGCAGTGAGAATCTTCTCAGTTCTTGCAACCGTGGACAAATTGAACCTGAACTCCACCTGTTCACTGCGCACTGCAAATGAAATGATAACATTAGAAACAAGAACAAGCGTGACCCTATTTCATTGACTAAAAAAGCCAGCAAGAAACGCATGCATGCATGGATAAAATCTTACATTTGTCAAAGAAGCTGCGCACAGTATTCCCCTCCAGCAGATACGGGTCCTTTGTCACACCGTCCACATCAGCAACAGTGTTGTACAGATCGAGCATGTACTGAGGTGGCTGTTTGTGTCCATGCATAGCAGGAGGATCATCCATCCCAAAAACTTCCAGAAGTCTCTTGATTGCAGCTGAGCGTACTTCCCCTGACTCGGCGGTGAACTGATTCTCCAGGTAGCCGAGTGGAGGCCGTGCAGCGATGGTGCAAACTAAAGCGGCAAAGCTGATCACAAACAGCAACATGTCTGAAGGTAGAGTAGATTCCTTGTGCGTCGGTGTCCTCGGAGCACACAACCGGCCAGATAGTAACTTGGAGTTGGAGTGACTGCAGGATCCTGGAAGCTTGACTTTTTATATCAAATGCTCCCGTTCACTCTTCAGCCTTGGTAAACAGCAGTAAAGATGCTATTTGGCCGCCAATGTAAATCGCCAATCAGCCAACATAAAGGGAGACTAATGGCGGCGTTAACAAGGTGTGAACCCGATTGTAGATTTTATTCAAGCCCATTGTCCCGACGTCTGGTAATAAATGTTCAATAAACTAATTTCATCCTTTGAAATAGCTTGGTACTTATGGACCAGTGTCTATGTTGTGCAGGAATACATTTGATGTATCATGCAATAGGAGGTAAATGCAAGAAATGTCAACAGAATAAACCTGAAGCTGATCTCTTGAGGAAGTGCATTCACCATGGGAGGTCGACGGCCACTAAATGAATCCATTAATTTAGAATAAGGGGCACAGTGCCTTAGGTGGAAACCAATTACTTCGATAAAGAGACGGGTGTCCCTGTCTACACCTCGAGAGATTAACATAACTGCTTATCCTGTGACTGCTGGATAATCACCACATTTGTAAAAAAAAGAACTCCAAATGCAATGCGGTTAAGCTAAAAAGATTATTTCAACTTTAGTCAGTTCAATCATTTCCAATCCTAAAAACACCCCCCTTATTACATTCTCATGTTACTCAAGTTAATCAAGATAAGATAAGATGGACCTTTATTAATCCCCGTGGGGAAATTCAGTAGTTTAACAGCAACAGGGTAAGATTGAAAAACAGGACAGCAAATGTTCCTTTGGGTGTACATTTCCTGAAGATTTAAGAACATAATACCGTGCAGACAATTGTGTGTACACTGAACATGTTATGGTTCCATTCAGTTTACCTTTCAACACATAGATACAGAAATATGTATACATAAGATAATGCATTTTAATCAACCCTTAGTTAAAGACAACAATCTTAGTCATTCTTTTAACTTAAAAGTTTGTTTTTGTTTATTTGTATTTCTTAAAACCAACTGAATTCCTTCCTATTTGTCTGACAAATGGCGCACTGTGCCATTTGGTAACTTTGATCTTTACGCACAATTGCAAGAGCAAAACGTTTGTTTCCCCAGCTGTAATAAACAATTAGAGATCAAAGTGTTGTCTACATGACACCTTGTAAGCAAGTCATAAAACTTCTTCTCTTAAGATGACAGAAAAAAAAACACAAAAGAGTTTTTCGCACGTTGATATGAAAATAAGGAGCTATTAGCTACCTGCACGTGTGTTTTTTCAAAGGGACATTTGCAAAACTGGTGGGCTTTTCATGTGTTCCATACCGGTGCTTCTTCAACGGCTGATTTTAGCTCTTTGATACTTTAAACACTCACTTAGACACATACTGGTTTTGATTTGTTTCAGAATGTTTTTATCAGATTGTCTTACATCATGTCAACAGAGGTGGGAGAAGTACTCAGATATTGTACTTCAGTAAAAGTACATGTACCAGAGTGTAGAATACTATCTGAAAGTCGAAAAGTATTAGCATCAAAATAAACTTAAAGTACCAGAAGTAAAAGTACTTATTATGCAGATCGGTCCATTTCAGAATAATATATTTTACGTTTTGATTATAATGATTGATGCATTGAAGTGTTTATCACAGCTGGTGAAGGAGCAGCTCTTAATAACTTTGTAAACTGCAGGGTAGCTTCTGCATTTACTCCAGGTGTAACTAAAGTCTGATTTAAGTGATCATATTTCACATTATTAATCCAAATCTGAAAAGTAACTACAGGTACTGAATAAATGTAGAGGAGTAAAAGTAAACCATTTACCTCTTAATTTTAGTGGGGTAGAAATACAAAGTAGCATAAAAAGGAAATTACTAGTTACTTCCCACATCTGCATGTCAATGTCTTGTGACTGTTATATTTCCTTGTTTTTCTTAACTCAAACCCCACAGTAATAACTTTTTTTAAGTAATGATATTGATATAATAATGTTAAAGAAGGCTACACCTTGTATTTGCTATGTGGGGAAGTTTCTCAAGTGCTATTTGAGGTTATATTTCTTAGAAATATTTATTTTGTCATCGTTTTTTTTGGTACAAATACGGTGTTCCAGTTAACAAATACCTCACAGATTATTGTATTAAATTTATTTACAAAATTATCATTTAAACATATATTACATATAATACAAAAATACTTTAGGAGAGCTCATTCTTAAACGGATGTCAGAGTTTTTGGTGGGGTCGACAATGGACTGTTGACAACTCCTGAGAAGGGATTTGAAGTGGTTTCCAGTAGGGGGCGCTGTGGTCAGTTTTGACAAAGGCAGGATGTGATGGAGAGGATAGTGCGTATCTGTCCATGCTGGTCGAGGAAGCTGTGGGTCTCATAGCCCTCAGGAACACAGGAGCTGGACTGTTTTTCAGCCCACAAGTGGCAAACTGCTGGATCAGATTGATTTCTGCAAAATAAAATTGAAATAAAATGTAATTCCCTTTGTGCTACACATCAAATAAGCTGTTTGTTACCAGAAGCATACATAGAAAAATCAATAAAATGCCTTAATGAATGCCTCTGTTTGGTTACACTGTGAAAGTTAACTCCAGTATGTGAGGTTCTTGTATGCTTATATCAGCTTATGCCTGTCAAGTTTGAATGAAGTCATTATGAGTGTCAGTACTTCCACTATGGGATACACAAACACCATGCATTAAGACATGCATTAACCTGACCTGCTGCTGGCGCGGTGATAACAAATTCATACTGTGCACCAAAAAAGTTGTAAAAAACTCTAAAGCTTTAATTAATATTAAAGTTGAAAGACCAAATGTCATTACATTTAAATTAGCTGGCACTTTCTCTTAAAGCAACAATAAGTGTAATTGTGCATTGTAAGTGCTGGTGCCTTAGTCTCAATTGTCTTACATTTTGTTCAAAATGTACTGAATATTTCAGGTTGAATTTAGGGGAAAGATGTTTAAAACAAGTGCACATTACATCTAGAATACTTTAATTTGAAAGTGCTGAATAATGTTGCTATGATGCAGGTTTTCTTTTATTTGTCTGTGCACTATTTTCCCTCTCCAGCCATTCAATCAAAGTCCAATGATATTTTGAAGGAACTACATTACATTACATGTCATTTTGTTGGACGCTTTTATCCAAAGCGACTTACATACATTCAGTACTGAACTATTAGGTACATTTGTAATGGGGATCTCTTATCATGCCATATAACTTCATATACAATTATATACGGTATTTTCTTCTGCTTTGTTCTGAGAATGAGGCAGACTTCTGAAGGAGGGACATTTGGTTCAGGAATGTAACGCTGACGACATGCTGAGTGCAGAAAGTGTCAGAGCTCACAGGCAATTGTTATGAGAGGGTCCGAAGAGGTGTGGGTGTGTGGCAGCTGTGTTCATGCTTACCTAAGAAGGCATCGGGTTCCTGTAGTGCAGCCTCCCAAACATCTGCCAACGTCTATTTCCTGTGGAAAATTAGCAACACACAGAGAGGGCAATCAGCACAGCTGGTCACAAACATTGACCCAGTGGAGCCGGGGCCCAGCTGTTGTTTACGGCTCTGATCCGACACCTGCAGGGGCCATTTGTGTTTGCACAGTCACACCCTTGGTGCTGAGGCACAGCCAAACACCAACTCTGTCCATAAAATCAGTCTTTAAATCCTTAATCTAATAAATCATTCATCAAGTTAAGTCTGGGGTAAAGATAATAAATAGTTATATCAATCTTTGTGGTATTGATCTGATTGTGGATGAACTTCGCATTAAGTGCTTCAAAGCTTTTGTGAGGTTTGATAGAGGATAATGAGACTAAATCCTAATTTGCTACAATTGGGCCACAAAGCAGTTTAAATCAGGTTTCGATTGTATTTTTCTGAATTAAGTTGAGCTGGAACTCAAACCTGCCAGTCTCTGTTGTGTATTGTTGCTGGCTGTGCATGAGTTTGGCCAGTGGATTAGCTTGATTAAGTGCTGTCTTCCACATGAGAGTCTGATGAATAAAGATACTTCATTACTGTCTGGCACCCGACAAGACCCTCGTTTCCTCTGAACTCCACTACAATAGAGATAGTGTGAAAACGGCATCACAAATGAATCACATTTGTGGTGTTAAGTAAGCCATGGTAATCAAAGAAGAGATGAGAAGGCTGGAGTTGAAGTCATGCACATTTTCTATGAAAGTTTTATGTTTATATTTTATGAAAGTTAAGAATGTACACCTACTTTAAGTCTCTCCTCTTTGACTCCATCGTTGTGGACTACTTCATAGTGATACTCCATGTATGGGACCCTATAGCAGCTTTCTTTCAGCTCACAGGACACCACTGTCTGGATCAGCTCCACTTTGTTTGGGGTTTCCACCGACTCTGAGTCAAACTTAGTGGGAACACAGGAGAATCCCTCTGTGAAGGATTAAGAAAGGAAGAAATTGAGTTATATGGGCAGAAGGGATTACATTACATTACATTGCATTTAGCTGACGCTTTTATCCAAAGCGACTTACAATAAGTGCATTCGACCAGGAAGACACAACCTTGAAGAAAACAGAATCATATAAGTACATCAGGTTTCATAGAGCCAAACATTTCAAGTGCTGCTCAACTGGCTTTAGATAAGCCAGCCCTTTATTAGTATATAAGTGCTCTGTTAGCAGTTCTTTGTTAGTAATTCTATCGCTCGAAGTGGAGTCGAAAGAGATGAGTTTTCAGTCTGCGCCGGAAGATGTGCAGGCTTTCTACTGTCCTGATGTCAATGGGGAGCTCATTCCACCATTTTGGAGCCAGGATAGCAAACCCACGTGTTTTTGCTGATGGGAACTTGGGTCCCACTCGCAGTGCGGGTGCAGAGAGTCGTTTGGCTGATGCAGAGCGAAGTGCACGCACTGGGGTGTACAGTTTAACCATGTCCTGGGATCAGCTCAATAATAATATCTGATCCAAATTAAAACAAAAACAACACCAGATTGGCTTTGGGATCACTCTCACCCTAATTGATAGGTCTTTTAAATTACTAGAAAGCAATTTCACAAGTTTGTATTCTGATTATGTTACAGAAAAGGGTTTGATGAAGTGATTTTAATTAAACAGACAAACTCCTGAGTAAGTACAACTATTGTATTGTGTATGTTCATGTAGCTTGAATTGTGAAATGGCCCAAAAATGAGCATTGGGACTTTAATTGCATCAGCATTGTGGTAGATTCTGATGAAAGCAGTCCTGCTTCGACTATGGGCCTGCAGTGACTATCACTATAACTAAAGTAGGCCTATATCCTGTTAGGTTTTTTGTGTTTTTTTAACACAAACATGGTGCAGTTTCATATTATTAATAGTTTAACATGGTGACACTGTTGCCTATACCTTCAAATTAGTTTTGAGGTCAAACGATGATGTCAAATAAAGATTTTTTGAACTAGCTTTACTTAATGTTTTCTGTTCTAGTGAAAAATATCTTGCATCGTTATCTCCCTTAGATAATAATAGACTAACTGACTGAGTTCTGTTCAACCTATGTGTGTTAGGAAAGTCAGTCATATTTCATCTGATCAGCTGCTCTGCGCGCGCGCACACACACACACGCACGCACACGCACGCACGCACACACACACACACACACACACACACACACACACACACACACACACACACACACACACACACACACACACACACACACACACACACACACACACACACACACACACACACACACACACACACACACACCTGGTGAACCCTTGGACCGGGAGCAGCCTCCCACGTCCAGGACAGCCTCATACGGTGTCTCGCTGTAGTAAGTCCTGAGCGCGGGCACGCGGAGGCACTGGGTCAGATTGATCTCGCACTGGCACTCCTGGATGATCTCCACCTCGCGGGGTCCCTCCAGCAGCAGCAGCCGGTCCACGCGCACCCCGGTCGGCTCACACACCTGGTTCATCCCGCAGGAGGGCATCCGGCCCTGCGGCCCGGGGCTCTCTGGAGCTGAGGGTCCGCGCGCCCTCGTCTTTTGTAAGAGAAATAAGATATGTCAGAGCATGTTTCTGTGTCCATCATTGTGAGTGGTGGAAATTATTTGCAGAGTGCTATTACAATTAAAGTGCATTCATAATAATTTAAGAGCTATGCGGAAAGTCCTACTAAAACCATCAATATATCTTACAGAACTATCATACATCCTTTAAAAACAATATACGTGATTTGATGGCGCGTCAGTTATAACGTCATCCTAATGTCTATTTGAGTTTCAGTAGATAACTTTTACAATCACACAGGGACAGCGCCCCCGTGTGGCCACCTGGGGAAACTCAACTTACTTTTTTACTCCTAAGAAATTCCAGCATTGAGGAATGTCTGGAGTATTCCTGCTGCCCTGCTTCATGTGAGGGCCTGGGTGCCCCCCCACAGTGCGACCTGCACACCCCCACATCCACACTGACAGGACTCCCAGAGATGTCTGTGAGGAGAGTCACACAAAATAAATTTGAGGTCAGACAGCAAGATTAATAACATATAAAACATACTTTTTTAAACACGTAAGGCTAATCATGTCAGTTGCTTTTACATGTTTAAATGCTCCGACAAATTATACTGTGGCTTATTTTAGAGGATTGAAGACTTGCAGTTAATTGCAAATTACTGCTTTTACTGAAGAACATGTGGTTGGGTGTTACCTTCTCCAATGTAGACAAAGTGGCTCTGTCTCTTGCAGCACAGCCTCTGTGTGATCAGGTTTCTGTGATCTATGTGTTTACTAAACACTCCGGTCACTAGAAAACACAATCAGAAAGTTAACACTTTTATGCTTTTACTCAATGTATACTTGTATAATGTCACACTTTATATATTTCCCAAAATAGGCAGATTCAGATCAATGGGATCACACTGTTTTACACACAAGTTAAACTTAGGACACAATGGTTCAGAAATCCATATGTCCAAGTCTTTAGTTAATCAAAAACTGAAATTAGCAGGTACTTACGCCCAGACAGGTTTATTAATGTTTAGAATAATAGCTTTACAAGAAGAAAAATGAATGTTGGTGTCATGCATGACTATTATTCAGTGCAGCATCACCCCATCCACTACACTCATGTTTACCAATGTTATTACAAGGGATTGCAGGTATATTTGATCCGGTTGGTGTCAGTCCAGTCAGTGAATAGCTGCTTTAATACATGTCACAGCAGCAGCAGAGAATAGAGTAAACAGTACTTACAGGTCAGGTGGAGGGCACACAGGAGGAGAAGAAAAGGTCGGGGTACATCCATGGCTTTAATCCGAATCTGCTCCTCAGCTGCCAGATACTGAGTGTCCCTCTGCTCACTGATGCCTCTGATATTTATATGGGATCAAGCTTCAGCCCCAAATGTCATCCGAAAACAAGCTCTCAGACTGGTGTAGGGTCAGAAAAAGTGAGAGCTAATCAAATTTCCATGCGGAATGCTTTGTGGGATGGAGTTCTTACAAGCAGGGGCCTGCACTTCAAAGGAAATCTCCACAGCCTCTCTGTTTCTGCTGCGAGGACCGAGTGGCTCGAGTGTGTCGACCAGCCCGAGCTCTCTCTAATGAAGTGTTTAAGTAGCCTCGAGCCATTAAAGCGTCGCTCATTCAAAGGCCTTAATCATCTTTTATCTCAGGGGGAAGGTGTTTAGCACCTCTGACTTAAAACAAAACCCGGCCCAAACACATAAACAGGATCAGCATGGGGGCCTGAGCCTCCCCTTCAGAAGCCCCAGCACCTTTGTGTTTATTCAACATGACACCAAATGGCCAGAGCAAATCCCAGCTTCTTTTTCTCTTCAGAGAAAGGGGCTAAAAGAAGTATTATAATAACATAGATTTCAGACATTTCAATCTCTGTGTATTTAACATTTTAGAGTTGAATGTAAGCTTAAGAACACAGTAGACTGGCAAAAAGGCCTAGAATAAACCTCAAAAAATTAAAAAAAGGGCGACATAGATACCCTGTGAAGCTTTATTTACAGGCATAACACATATGGTCCAAATAAATCATCTTAATGTCAGGAAAACCACTTTAATATGGTGTAACGTTGGCATTTGACTTATTTTTCAATCATATCTCAACAAGGTGTTAATCCTTCTTTGAAGTGTTGATATGATCCCCTCATTTTCAGCGGGATCATCGTTCAGAGAGCCATCAGCACTCAGACCTGTTGATTAAGGTGACGCCTTCAACAGTTTCAATTGTGGATTGCTTTCACAAATCCTATTGAAATGAATCATAATCCTGGTTGAACCCAGATATAGTTGTAATCACTTGATTGAATTATGCAGATCATATGTTGTCAGGAAACTCTACTATAAAGATGACCACAATTGTTTTCCAAACTAAAGGGACCCTGCGGGAGAGCGGGTCCACACAGCTGTAATGTTGTTATTGATTTATAACTGTGTGCTTTGTTTTGTAAAATGTGAAATAGACTCACTTCAAAACAAATAATTGACTGTTCAGGGGTCAGAGGTTAAAAAGTTTGAGACTCATGACCAACAATCTAATGAAAAGCTGTGTGGTTTCTGGATCTGCTGATTGTCTCAACAATATAAGGACTTTAAATGTAAACCAGCACAATTCCTTGAGAACTGAGCAAAGTCTCTCAGTTAGAGAAGATATTGAAATACCACAGAAAGCTCCAAAGAAATTATAAATGGACATTGTGCTGAGATTGTTCATCAAACTGCCTTGTCCAAGGTCAAGAATGAACCTTTTTTGTATCACTTGAATCTCAAAGTTGACCCCCTGTTTATCAAAAATACTAATATATTTTAAAATACATTCCCTACATGAGTATGGTAATTTTGAACAATGTTTTAAATTATTATATTAACTTGTTATTTTCAATATAATTTGTCTTTAGAGACAGAGTGAATATAAAACCTCTTTTGTAAAAAGAATGTTTCCTGAAACCTTTGATAAAGTGAAGTCAACATTTACTGACTTTAAAGAATGACAAAGATCTCCCTACTTTCATTAGAGTCATGAAGTATTTCTGTCACATGTTAGAACAGTTATTTATGATCCTTCAAATGTAGCAAAGAGAAACTGGCTTTCATGACAGTGTTTGGGCTAAGGGGTAAACTGTACCAAATATGATGGCAATAAACATAATGTCATTTTCAAATAACTTTGAGGTGTGCAATACTTTACGACCGATTTGACCTCTTCCTTTTGGCTGTTGCTCTTTCTACGTTCCCATAAAAATGATTTATTATAAGAGTATGTTTGAGTCTTTCACACCAAACTTGCACAGACTTCTGTTAACATACATTTCTAGATGTTACAGTAAGTTAGGGAGATGGCAGCGATTTCACTTTTGATGTTAACAAGTTTGTGCTTTTTGGTCTTTATGTGCTTAATATCCAATTTCTTGTAATTCATCACATTTGTTTCAGTGTAAAGTGTTTGGTTCAGATTTTGTTTCCTTGTCTAATTTTTTCCAATCATGGTTTTCTTTGTTTGATTAAACAGGGCTTAATATTTCTGAGTACGATGCCAAGTAGCTGTTTCTTTCTGCCCAGGCAAGCAAAAGCAAGAAGCTCAGCACAAATGTCAGTCTGTTGAGATATCGACTGAAAGAAACGAAAGCCTCAGCACCAAAATCCTTTTCAGGTGTAACCAAATACTTTGCATCTGTCAGTCATACTGTATGTGAACATTCGTTAAAACATCAAACACAGGCCTAGTGTCTGATAATGTTACTACGATGCACAGGTCTGCAAGGTAACATGTGTGAAATAGGTAAATTATGAAGACAACACGGCCAATAGCATTAGTCATAGTGAGATCTTATCACATGCATGTCCCAGCAGTTCTTGCTGTTGCCGATGGATATGAAAGAAGAACACACATAGATCAATGTGGAAATCCAGCCTCATGGCAGATCAGACCCTGCTGGTTGTGAATCATCGCAGTCACAGAGACGCTCATTGAAGATTTGTGCATGCCTGCTTTCTTTCTGCAGATATGTTGCCCTGCAGTTTTAATCAGAATACTTCAATCTTGGCATTTTACCGGCTTACTTTGCGGTCAGCAGTGTATCATTACCTAAAAAGCACTGTCACCCAAAGAGCCACAAGGGAAAAAAGCACTTAATAGGCTATGTAAATATTGTTTATACATTTCATGTCTTTTTTAAAAATATATTTTCAAAGAGAAGACAAATAGGAATATGGGAATACACATGTATAACTGTCATCATGTTAAAGGCAAACAGTGTGTGAACGTATTATTTAAACGAGTTGTCAAATAAATGTGGAGGAGTAAAAAGTACAATGTTTGCTTCTAAAATGTTGTGAAGTAGAAGTATAAAGTGGCATCAAAAGTACATTTACCAAACAAATGTACTTAGTTACTATACAGCACTGTGTACAGCTTTAATAAAATGGTGAATGTGTTACTTTTGCACTGTAAATCGCTGCCTACAGCGGTTTTTTTTCATTTCAGGTATCCATAGTAAAACTGTTGTAATGATTTTAGTTACACATCTACTTATTACACAGAACTGTGTCATATTACAATTGTGTTTAGACTTTTGTAAGTAAAATACTGCCTGCATAAAAGTGTTTAATGATGGTAACATCAGGTGGTGAAGGAGGTGTGTTCTTCATCGCAGGCTCATAAAGAAACAATGTGCAGACATTTCCAAGAGCATTCAGATTGTAAATGCTGTGTGCCTCGTGAAAATACAACACACAATATGCACTTCCTTAAACAATGCTGCTACCATACAATTTACAGGAGGATTCTTATCCTCAAATAATTCAAACGCTTCATAAATAAATATGAGCAGGAAAAGCAATAGGGTGTTCCCTTTCCTCCTTTTCTTATTTGTATTCAAAATGTCCCTGTTTTAATGAAATATAGTGTTACAATGTTTTTGAATTAGTTCATTACAAAAAAGTGGGCTAAATAGAAAAACTGTGTAGAAACATTTATGTGAACATATTCTTAAACTGAACAACAATAGGGTTGATAAGCAACATTTATTGAAATAATGCTTATATAGGAACAAATACATATACAAAAAATGTATGAACAGACAGACAGTTTAACATTTCAGAAAAGACAAGAGTTTTTCCTTTTCTATGAGACAGATTTCCCAAATGTATTTACATTTAATGATTAGTGTTTGTATATAAACGATTATTGATGGCCATCTCATGCAAGAAGTACTCTAAATAGCACATGTTATCAGGGATGAGCGAAGCAGGCAGGAGACAAACTCAGACTTCTCAGAAAAAGCACCTTTATTTCAAGGCTAAAAAGAAACAAACAGAACTCTTCCCTGTGAACACAGTCCAACAACAACAAGGAACTCACAAAGACTAACAGAAAACACAGAACCTAAATGCACACAGGACTAATCAAACAAACAAGAGACAGGTGAGGAGGGAGGAGAAAGCACAGGGGCACCAGGTGAACACAATCGGGTAATCAGGCAGGAGGGAAAACAGACAGAAACCAACAGGCAAAACAGGAGGTGAACACTTTTCAAAATAAAACAGGAAACCAAAGACAGAAAAAGACAAAACACAACACAGACAGATCGTGACACATGTATTATTATCATTTACAATGATCACCATTTATTAAGCAGCTTATTGAATTCCTCATGTATTAAAAGGCAAGAAAACGGTCACAAAAGTATTCTCATTGGAGCAGCCATGCTACTGAAGGCGTTTATATGTCGCGGCCCGTCGGCAGCAGTTCATCCTCAAACAACAAGGTGCTGCTGCGATTCTACCCAAGCGTTGACCTTTATCTTAGTGCAGAGTGAAAGCAAAAGTAATGCTTGAAGATTTCCTTGGCCAGCCTCATCGACTAGATTCCAGAAAGACATCATAAAACCGTGTGTTGCTTAATGATAAGATTTGGCAGATGAAGGTGGGATGACTCTGGGCCATTTCAGCTGGCAGACGCCCTCAGCCTCTGTACGGCTGTGAGGAGAACAACACAATTAAATGTCAATTATTTTGAAAAGGGTATGTGTATTTTAGAGTAGCATGATGCCTTTTTGTTACAAAAAAACAACCTAAATGTCATTTCTGGAGACTATCAAAACAAGGATAGAAAAATCGAACGTCCTTTTTAAACCAGCATGACATGATGACATGGACAGTTTTGCAAACTTCCTTAATCTCTTACCTTCATGGGTTTCTTGTGACCCCTTGGGTGTCTGTCAATCTTCTTTCTCAGATCTGTGACCCATTTCTCTCTGGGGTTTGCACAAAACTCACGCCCCCTCTTCATGGTGAAGCTAAAGGATAATCGATGCAAACATTATTTTGCGCAGCAATGAGAGAACATGTTATGCCAAAGTTGAAGTGAGTTCAGTATCACAGTGGATGTTCTTATCGTTTTTTAAATCTTTACTTACATAACAGCAGGGATGTTGCAGCCTCCATCTGGTACCTGCAATCTGTAGGCCACTGCATGTCTTTGAGTGCTCCTGCCCAACTTTTTCACGTACTTCAAACAGCAGTCGTCATAGGTCGCTGAAGAATCAGAAATCCAGAGCAGTAAAGTCAGAAATCAAATACAATCCAGTGCCACCACAAAAACGACAGTAAAATACTATTCATACATCACAGTCAAATAATCAGTCAACAAAATGCAGAAGGTCCTCGATGCAACACAGTGAGGTAACCTTGTCTTTATTGTCGAAAACTATTTGACACTACAGTCGGATACCCGCTGCTCTATTTCAGTGACTTACTTTGAGCGAGTGCAAGGCAAACACAAGTCAGACTCAGCAAGATGAGCGTGTTGAACCGCATGGTGAGGTCTGTATAGCAGCTCTGGAAGAAGACATGAAAGCAAAAAGTAAAACGAAAGCTGATCTGCAATCAGCCTTATCACTCTCTGATAATTATCTCTCTGCTCTGCCCACACCTTTCCTATTCACGTTGGAAACCTTGAACCTTGAACAAATATTTCACAACACCTCTCTTTATATTTATGTATACATTTGTATCAAACAACTATGACTTTTTAACTCTATAACTCTCGGTTGTCAAACAAATCTATTTCTCTAGAGTCTAGTCACATTACACGCCTGTTGAATGAAGAAAATCATAGCTTTAAAACATTATCCAATTTGTTTTTGATTGCCATAAATGTTTAAATTATTCTTTGATATGTTCTCTTTTGGTAAGCAAATACATGTGATCTTGTGGTAGGACACAACATGAAATAGTATTGCTTTGAATTGCTTTTGGTGCTGTGAAAAGTTAAAGAATGATAAATAATCCAAACAAAACTGATACGAATTACATATTGTACTGAATCGAGTCTGATAACACACTTATGACCGTTACAAAATATGGAGGAAACTCCAAATGATCTTATTTTACCATGGGATTGCTTATAACTCACCTCTTAAGTTGGAGATGTATTCCCTTCTCTCTTCTTGTGTCTGTGCAGGCGAGGCGAGGCCGTCTTATATAGGGCTCACACGCACGCCAGGGATCATATTTCCATAAACGCAGCTTACCTTTGCACTCCATCTCATCTTTCTTTTTTCCGTTCAGGGGATTTTTTTTCTTTCCCTGATTGCTGTATTTAAGTATCAGTCTTACCTTTGGGAATTGGACCCCCACCTTATGTAAAGATGATTTTGATCATTGGGATTTCAGTCAAACAAGCTCATTTTCCAAAGCCAACATTTTTACTTTTACAGTTTTCAAACATTTTCAAGAAGCGGGGAATTCTCAGCATGCATACAAAAGACTTGTTAATTTGTGATCATGATTCATTTCATACGACCAAACAGATCTTACCATGAAATAAACTCCCTTAGTTGGAGTCTAGCCTGGTAAACTCTTAAAGGTCTTTGAGAAATACTTAGGCTTCCAAAGTGACTGTTGAAGGAAGGTGTTTAATGCCAACACACACATTTGTTTTCAACTCGTATCGAAAAGAGTTCCTTGGGTCGGTGGTGGTGAAGTCGATAGGGACTTGGCTTGGCAACTAGAAGGTCACCAGTTCAAGTCCCAGCAAGACCAAGTGCTACCGAGGTGTCCCTGAGCAAGGCAACGTTCCCTACACTGCTCCCCGGGCGCAGTTCAAAATGGCAGCACACTGCTCCTAACACTAGGATGGGTCAAATGCAGAGAAACAATTTCCCCACGGGGATTAATGAAGTATATCAATATCTTGGAGTAAATCCTTGTACTCAAGACAGCATTTAACAAAAAGGATGGAGTAAAAGACTTTAAAGCAATTGAGTTGTTGTGCTAACATGCAGCTGTTAAAGGTAATCCTGCCCATATCCTTAACTTGATAAGGTTTCAAGTTTTTTTAACACAAGCAACTCAACGATGTTTATCTTTGTCGGCAAGTTTTGTTCAAAGAGGGTAGACTTTAAGGGAAGGGACATCATATCTATATACCGATGTTATCAATAGACTACAGTATATGGATATGCATTTGTATCTAATATTCACTATGCTGAGAATTGTTTTTACTGTCGTTTAAATGTATACCTAACGTTTAAATGCACATACAGTACATTCACTATAACATTATTACATGTAGGTTCAACTAATTTAAAACAGGCAGAATAGCATTACTCACATCTCTCAGTAAACCACTTTCCCCTTTTATTAAACATGTGCCTCTTCTGCTTCCGTCACCACAGCCTATATCATCTGTTTCCATCTCTTCCTGTCCTCTGCATCTCCCTCAGTCACAGGAACCATCTGCATCTCCGCCCTCGCCCTATTCATCTTTGACCTTCCTCCTTTCCTATTGCCTGGCATCTTCAGCAGCATCCTTCTCCCAATATGCCCAGCATCTCCACTTTAGTGCCCCTCACAATCATGCCCCTGCACTGGAACCTGCTTCACCAAAATTATGGTTTACAGAAGTTACACTAAAATCCAGTATGACTTCCTATTTAATTTGAGAGACATCCTCAATATTTCCATATAGAAAACTATAACATGTCATAACGTGTTAAATATTTTTCAATCACGTTCAGTCTTGCTATAGAATAGTTTCTAAGCTGTACATTCTTGTATGCAAAGAACATGTGTGATCACTGTCTCTTGAAACCTCAAACATAGACTGTTTGACATTTACCAAACATTAGTTGTCGTACAGTATCGATGTGAAAGTGTTCACTTTTAATGTGTGTGGAAGTCCCCATGGATGGCTCACACTAAGGTTTTATCAGGCCATAAACAGTGTATCTCAGAATCAATAAAGCTCAGCTGTATCAACAAATTAAAACCTTTAAAGTATTTGAGACAAATGACGCACATACCATAAAACCCTGTGGAATTTCTCAGTTATACTGCCAGTACTCTCTGGAGAACCCCCCTCTATTGTATGAAACATCATTTCTACAGAATTACATATTAAAAACCTTCCTTTAGTCACATTGTGATCTGACAGATGAAAAGATATGCAATAAAAACAACTGTCAGCATATGGCGTAACCACCTAAAGCCTTTCCTGTTAACTTCTAAAAACAGGCTGCAGTGTTCATTCGTGGACTTTTGTTGAACGCTTTTTGACAGATATTAATGAGCCTTGAGGGCTTGAGTGGACATTGGATAGCGCTGTTCCCTGTTTATGTTTTACTCACATCCAAACATGCTTCTAATGCCTAATGAGGCGTTTCATGAACATGCCCTCTCCATTTCCTTTCTCTGCAGGATACTGGTGCTAACTTGAGTTGTTTGCTACACTTCTACTCAAGAACACACAACTGTGCATTATATGATAGAAATAATGTACTGTTTTTCCCCAGGTGCCACTCACGCATCAAAGCAATTCATATGAAATGTGCTCTTCATTTTCTTATTGCCTTAGTCTGTTTGTGCGATTCTCTTGATCCGTGCTAGGTGTGTCCGTTCAATCACAGTACAAAATAAAAAAGATCAGAATATTCCTGGGAAAAACAACTTGCATCTTCAAAGGGGCCTAATTATGCTAATTTTCAGAGATCATATTTGTATTTTGTGCCTCTACTGTGGAAAGTCTACACACTTTAATGTTCAAAAAGTGCTTTATTTTTCTCATATTGTCTGTGTTGCAGCACCTCTTTTCACCCTCTGTCTGAAACCAGAGCCCAGTCTGATCTGATTGGTTAGCTGGCCTGCTCTGATTGGGCAACCACTTAAAGATGTCCCACCCCTTAAGCCTATCACATACAATAGGCGCGTTCACACCGCAGTACTTTTCCCACTTTAGTTCCGAAATATCGCGTTCACACCAAAAAGAGCCGGAACTAAAATTAGTTCATGAGAACCTTTTCACCCCCTTTTCCGTCCCTGCTAGAGAGCAGGGACTTTCGTGGGAGAAAAAGGTTCCTATGTCTGATTGGCTGGGCGGAATGCAAACCACGCCCCGTAAAACTCCCAAAAAGTTTTGTGATGCCGCCATTTTATTATCCTCGCATTAGCATTATTAGCATTAGCATTAGCCCAGCGCAGAAACGCCATGGATGTATAATAAGAACTGGATACAGCGTGGGAGGTGGGGCCTCATTCATTCCTATGAGAGTTGCTCAATGGCTTATGATGACAAATGGCCCAACTTTTGAGAGAGCGAAACGTCACAGATTACCCGGCATGCCTGAGAAGTACCCGTATGTGCACTCATAGAGCATGCGCAACTTTAACCACGCCGCCCAAAAGGCTCGTTCACATTAATCACGTGAATTTGCGTACACGTAACAGCACCGCGCGTTCATGACAGCATGGTACTGGATTTATATTAACGAGGCGGCAGTTAGCAGCTAGCGGCTAGCTAGTAAATTATGCTAAATTACACATCAATCGTTATGTACTTTTATATTACGCTGACATCAGGATCTAGTGATATCCAAGCAACAGAGCTTCATTTAGCATGATACTTGTGTGGGTTGTACATGAAACCACTTGGTAATATATACAAATGTATATGTTGAAGCCTGTTATGATCAATTGTGAGTTAAAACTTTATCTAAAAAGTGAAGCTGATGATGGATTACTGTGGTGGAGTTAAAATAACAATAGCCTATTTCTTTTTGAAATGTGATGGATAGTAACTGTGATTATTCATGTTAAGTAGCCCACAAGTAACTAAAACAATTGCAAGTGCAATAAGAAGCTACAGGAACGTTAATCTACGTCGGTAATATTAACTTTATTTAATACAACATTTACGGTACAAGATTGACATCATACAGCCCATGTAGTATAATATTTTACAAATGATGAATTACAGCAAACATGTGCAATATATCCATTATTACAGCTCCGTGGGATGGCAGTAAGACGATATGGTCCGTTGTTATTGTGCATCCATGGGTAAAGAGAAACTCATGTAGTACTGAACACGTAACATGAACGTGCCGGGCGGCGCGGTCCCGTGGGTTAGATGCGCGTTCATAATGCCGAGGGAAATAACTCTCAGAATAACGTTATTAGCACATGTTTACAACTTGAGGAACGAATGTTTTTAATAAGGGCTATACAAGTGTTCATACTGGGTAGCTTATTTAGTTTAAAAAAAATTATCCAACGAGTTACAGACCACTCTTTCCCAATGTAAGTCAATGGGAAAAAGTGTTTCCGGGCCCAGCAACCTAAAGGAAGTGTAGTACCGCCGTTTGACCAGCACGAATATTTTCATCAGACTCCGGCGCACTACCTGGGGGCTTGAGAAACGCAGAGAGACTAACTTATGGCAACACAAAATAAAACATGGGAGCGGTGGAGATGAGGAGGTGTCGGCGTTCTGGCGATTTACTCTGAAGGCTTCAGCAGAAGCTGCTGGGAGTCCCAGCAGCTTCTACTGAAGCCTTCCCTAACTCCGGGGACTTCCGGCCGGGGACTTTGGGCGGCAGTATACGCCGTGAAGTGGTTTGCGGCCTTCCAGTATACCCAAAGCAGAAGAAGAAGAAGTGACGTCAGCGGCTTCATTTGCCTAATCCTCCCCCAGGGACTTATTCCGGTGTGAACGCGATCTGTACTTAGTTCATGAGAACTAAAGAGTTCTCATGAACCTTTGTGGGAAAAGTACTGCGGTGTGAATGCGCCTATAGTGTTGGAGCGCTAGCCAATAAAAGCGCAAGGTTTACATAGTGATGTTACCCAAATCAACGATAGAACCCAATGTAGGCGTTTCAGGCAGGGGGGAAATGTGTGGGAGAGAAACTCCGTCTGAAGAGAACTTTGAGATTTGAGCCTTTGCAGACCAATTACATGCAAAAAAATCAATATAACAAACAAAAGGGAAAAAAAACTCCAAAAAGTATAATAGGGCCCCGCATAGAAAGACTGTAATCTCTATTCCTGGATTCGATGCATTTTCAAAATGTCCTGATGGTTGAATGAATATTTGTCAGGAGATGATGGTCCACTGCCAAAGGAACTTGGACCCAGGCAGTATGAGGACACTGTGTTGTGTTATCTTCAGCATTCTTTTCAGACAATATGATATGTT